GAGAAATATAGGTCTAGTTTTAATCTTTGGCAAGTTGAAACCCAATTTTTTCCAGCACCATTTATTAAAGAAGCTATCTTTCCTCCAGTGAGGGTGTTTGGCTCCTTTGTAAAAATGAGGTGGCTGAGTATATCTGGAGTTGTTTCTGCATCTTCTATTCTGTTCCACTGATCCTTGGGTCTGTTTCTTAGCCAGTACCATGCTGTTTTATCACAGTAGCTTTGTAGTATAGTTTCAAGTTAGGGATTGTGATACCTCCTGCCTTGTCTTTGTTGCCTAGAATTGCTTTTGCTGTCCAAACCAGATGAAAGGTCATTTTTTCAACAGATGCTCCTAAAACAATAGGAGAATAACTAACTATATGGAGAATAATTAACTTCAACCCAGAACTTACATCATTTGCAGAAATCAATTCAAAATATACCTGTATGTAAAAATATATAAAAGTTAAATAGATCTTTTAAAATAGGAGAAAATCTTCATGATGTTGAGGTAGCAAGGTTACTGAGGGCACTAAAATCTCAAGTCATCAAAATATAAAGCTTCTCTTTGAGACACTATCAGAGGGTTCAATCTCCAGTATCACAAAAAAAGACGCTATTAAGAAAACAGACAAGTGACAGTAGGAAAAAGTATTTAGAATGTATGTATCCCACAAAGACTTTAAAATCCAAATATAGGGCTGGGGATTTAGCTCAGTGGTTTCGTCGTCTGCTGCGCAAGCGCGAGGACCCGAGTTCCATCCCTGATACCAAAAAAAAAAACCAAACAATTATATGCAGCAATTCTTGCAGATTAATAAAAGATGACAACCAAACACACAAAAGCATAGATATCATTAGTTATCAGGAAATGTAAGTAAAAACTATAATGGATATTACTCCATTTCTTTCTTTCTTTCTTTTTTTTTTTTTTGGTACTGGGGATCAAACTCAGGACCTTGCACTTGTGAGATGGATGTGGCGCCACTGAGCTATATCCCAATATTACTCCATTTCTGCTAGAATGATTAAAATTTAAGGGCTGGGGATATAGCTCAGTGGTGCCGCTGCCTGCCTTGCAAGCATATAAGGTCCTGAGTTCGATCCCTGGTACCAAAAATAAACAAATGCCGTGGACTTAGCTCAGTGGTTCCACCACCTGCCTCACATGCTCAAGGACCTGAGTTCGATCCCCGGTACCAAAAAAAAAAAAAAAAGACTAGAAGGGCCATATTGGGCTAGGGATTTAGCTCAGTGGTTCTGCCGCCTGCCTCGCAAGCATAAGGACCTGAGTTCGATCCCTGGTATCAAAAAAATAATAATAATAATAATCTTAAATATATGCACCTATTCCATGACCTAGCAAGTTTACTCCTAGATATTTATCCCAAAGAAGTGAAACCTATGTGTATATCAAGAATGCTCATTGCTGGTTTCTTCATAATAGCTCCAAACCAGAAACCACCAGAATATCCATTGATAAAAGAATTGATATACAAACCATGTAGACATGGGAGGCCCTATAGCAATCAAAACAAATGAGATACAATCAACCACAACTTGGACGAATTGTATAAATGCTATATTAACCGTAAAAGGCCAGGCACCAGAGAGTCCATACTGTAGAATTCCATTGGTTGGAAGTTCCAAAATGAGTAAAATAAAGCTAGGAGTAGAAATCAGAACAGGGTCTGTGAAGAAAAGAGCATAAGGACGCTCTGGAATACGATGTTCTATAGCTAAATTGTGTGTGCCAGTGGTTTATATGCACACAACTCTTGAAACTGTGCTATAGTTGTGCCCCTTATCCTTCAAGACACTGGTGGATGTCTGAAATCTTGGATAATACCAAACTATATATACTTTGCTTTTTCTTATGCATACATGCCTATGATATAGTTTAATTTATAAACTAGGCACAGTATGAGATTAACAACGACTACTGCTAACATACAACAATTATAATAATGCACTATAATAAAATAACAAATTGCTTGGTGTTACTCCTTTCATGGGGTCCCTTGCTGAAGTCTCCATATTAGCTCTATGCTTTCTGGCACAATACTTTGCCATGAATTGGAACATATTTTCCATCCACAAATTTAATGCCTGTCCCATTCTAACTATGAACTTATGCACTGTGGCTACGACTTTTGCAGTTTGAGATACAGCAGCAAAACTCTTCTTCCCAATGTCATAATTAGAAGATTTGTTTTTACCACAGATCTTAGCAACCTTACTATACATTTTTTCTGTCCTTATTAAATTGGGGAATTTTACATTTTCACTTAAAAGAGCAAAGGAAGTGCTTTACAGCTTCTCTTTGGCATATCCAAATTGCTAGCTAGCATCATTACTCTTTCACTTTGGGGACATTATTAATGAAATAAGGGTTACTTGAACACAAGCACTGTGATATTGTGACAGTTGATCTGATAACTGAGACATTATTCAGTGCTAATGGGTGGGTAGTATATAATGTGGATATGTTGAACGAAGGGATGATTCATGTCCTGGGTGGAATAGTATGGGATGGTGCAAGATTTCATCATACTATTCAGAATGACAGAATTTAAAACTTATGAGTTGTTTATTTCTGGAATTTTTCGTTCAATATTTTCAGACTGTGGTTGACTGAAATCGTGGAAAGTGAAACTGCAGATAAGGGAGGACTATTGTACTAGGATCTGTACATGTCATTGTGAAATAACAAAAACAACAATAATAACAACAACGACGATGAGGATGATGATGATGATGATCATGATGATCATGATGACGACGATGAATAGAATGAAACTCACAAAGGCAACACTGATCTCTAAAGGCTGAAGCATACCTTAGGTATGGTGGTACACATTTGTAATCTCAGCACTCTGAGAGCCTGAGGCAGGAAGATCACAAGTTTGAGTCTGGGCAACTTATTCACTTAATGAGACCCTGTCGAAGAAGAAGGAGAAGGAGAAGGAGAAGGAGAAGGAGAAGGAGAAGGAGAAGGAGAAGGAGAAGGAGAAGGAGAAGGAGAAGAAGAGGCTAGAGACATAAATTGGTGTGAAGGCCTTGTGTTTAATCCCCAGTGCTGGGAGCGGAGGGAAGATACAGCTCTACATTTTTAGGGAAACTTCAGGGAGTGGGCAGCAAAGTGGCTGGCTGAGCAGAGCCCCTGCCACTCCTGGTTCTAGTCTCAAATGTCTACCAGTTAGCTCTGGGGAAGGGCTCTCATACAAATTCAAGTGCAAGGGACACAGGCAGTCGAGGGGCTGACAGTCTTTGGGCACCTGGTATCACCTCTCTTGGACTATATGTTCTTGTTTCTTATTTCCCCGTCTCTAGGAGGCTACAGAGCTGACATCAACCCTTAACACCTGAGCGCCGAAGTCCTCAAGCCAGTGTCCTCTGTGTGACCACCAGCTCTGGGCCTCCCGATTTAAACACAGCCAGGGCCAGGGATTTGGCTCAGTGGTTTTGGCGCCTGCTGCGCAAGCGTGAGAACCCGAGTTCAATCCCTGGTACCAAAAAAAAAAGATACATTTCTTAAACACAGCCAGAAGTCCACACAGGTAGGGGCATTTCCCATGAGGGGCTGTGATCTGGGCAGGGGACTCTCAAGTTTATCACTCCCTGGGTTAGTCCTGGCCATCTGTGACATGCATATCTAATAAGAACATTGGCATCATGTGCTGGGGAGCTGGTGGACTCTAAGCAAAATGAATTTTCATACTGTGTGTGTGAAAAGGTAGCACTGGACTCTGTTAAAGATCTAGCCCACAGGGAAGTTAAAATCACTTAAGGAGATATATTGAATTTAATGTAATGCATCTCATTAGTAGAGCAAACAGGAAAAAAACTGTGTGATCATCTCAGTTAATACAGAAAAAGGCTGGGCATGGTGGGGCAAGCCTGTAGTTTCAGCTACTCGGGAGATAGAAACAGGAAAATTGCAAATACAAGCCCAACCTGGGCAACTTAGTAAGATCTCATCTCAAAGTAAAAAATTAAAAGTACTGTAGCTCAGCACTCCCCAGGTTCAGTCCCTAGTACCAAAGAAAAACAAAACAAAACAAAACTGAGAAAGAGCATCTGACAATATCCAACACTTTTTCATGACAAAAATATTCAGTTTCTTCAATGTGATAACTCATACATGGAGAACTCAACAGCCAACAGACTATTCCAAGATGCAAGCCTACAGCTTTTCCTGTAAGGTCAGGAGCAAAACAGGGATGCCTGCTTTTGCCACATCATTTGCAATACAGAACTGGAAGACCTCACCAGAGCAAGTGGGCAAGACAAAGATCAAGTACCCAGAATGGAAAGGAAGAAGTAAAATGATCTCTGTTCACAGATGCCATGATCTTATATGTAGAAAACCCTGAAGATTTCACAAAAGCACTGTTACAGCAAATGAATTCAGCAGTTTCCGAATATAAAATCACCACACAGAAATCAGCTGCATTTCTGTGTACTAACAATGAATCACAGAAGGAAATGATACTGGGGAAAGATTCTCATGCAAGTGCAAGTACAAGAAGGGCCTAGCACATATTAGACAAGTGCTCTATCACTGAGCTGCATTCCCGGCCCTTTTTATTTTTGAGATAGCATCTTGCTAAATTGCCCAGGTTGGCATCAAACTTCCAATCCTCTTGCTTCAGCCTCCCTGAGTGGCTGGAATTACGGTTGTGTGTTACTGTGCCCTGATAATGGTTCCATTTAAAAAGCACAAAAAAATTGTTAGGAATTAACCAAGGCAGTGAAAGACTTGTACACTGAAAACTACAAATCATTGCTAAAAGAAATAAAAGAAACCTTAAATAAATGGAAAAGAATATGGTGCTCATAGAACACCTAATATTGTTAAAATGTCTATATCACCCAAAAAATCTACAGATTCAATTCAGTTCCTATTAAAATATCAGTGTTTTTTTGTTTTGTTTTGTTTTGTTTTTGGGTACCAGGGATCAAACTTGGGTCCTTGCGCTTGCACAGCAGGCGGCAAAATCACTGAGCTAAATCCCTACCCTTCAGTGGTATTTTTGAAAAAATAGAAAACTCCATTCTAAAATTCATACGGAAACTCAAGGAACTCCTAAACAGTATTAGAGATCTTATAATTTCTGATTTCAAAACTTAGAACAAAGTTATAGTAATCACTATTGTAAAGTGATACTGGTATAACGAAAGATATAGAAACCAAACGAATAGAATGGCCCAGAAATAAACCCTCACATATATTGTCAAATGATTCTGACAAGGCTGCCAAGACAGGAAAAGGACAGTCTTTTAACAAATGGTGTTGGGAGGGCCAGGGATTTAGCTCAGTGATTTTGCTGCCTGCTGCGCAAGCACAAGGACCAGAGTTCGATCCCTGGTACCAAACAAAAAACAAATGGTGTTGGGAAAACTGAATATCCACATGCAAAAGAATAAAGCTGGGTCCTTACAAATGCTATATACAAAAATTAACTCTAAATAGATCAAACACTTAAGTAAGTATGACCTAAAACTATAAAACTCTAAAAGAAACTCATAGGGCAAAACCTTCATAATACTGGATTTGGCATTGAGTTCTTGGATATGACATTAAAGGCACAGGCAACAACAACAACAAATACACAAATTATACTTATTGAAAATTTTAAAATTCTATGTTTCAAGGGACAGTATTAACAGAATGAAAGGCAACCCATGATATGGGAGAAATACTAGAAAATTGTATATATGTATAATTATATACATATATATGCACACACATGCATATATATCTAGAATATTTAGAAAGCTCTTACAACTCCCAAACAAACAAAAATCCCAATTAAAAATATGCACAGGAAAAAAATATGCACAGGAAAAAAATATCCACAGGATTTAGACATTTTTCCAGTGAAGACATACAAATGGCCAATAAATAGGAAAAGATATTCAATACCACTAGTCACTTGGGAAAATGCAAATCAAAACCACAATGAGATACCATAAGGATGGCTATTATTTGAAAACTCAGAAAATAACCAAGTGTTGGGAGGATGCAGAGAAATTGGGAATCCTTGTGCATTGCTAGTGGGAATGTAAAATGATGCAGCTCCTATGGAGAACAGTTTGACAGTTCCTCAAAAAGCAAAACAGAATTACTATGTGATTCAGCAACCTCCCTCATTTAGGCATGTACGTAAAAGAAGTGAAATCAGGGACTCAAACAGATATTTGTACAATGTTCATAGTACCATTATTCACAATGGTCAGAAAGTGGAAACAGAGGCTGGGGATTGAGCTCAGTGGTTCCACCGCCTGCCTCAAAAGTGCAAGGTCCTGAGTTTGATCCCTGGTACCAAAAAAAAAAAAAAAAAAAAAAGTGGAAACAAACCGTTCGTGGAGAGACAAATAGGCAAATGTGATATATATTCACAAAATGTGGTATAAAAAAGGAAGGAAATCCTGACACATGCTGTAACATGGATGAATCTTGAAAACATGTTAGTGAAATATAACAGTCACAAAAGGACAAATATTGAATGTGTCCACTTAGACATCTGGAATAGTCAAATTTATAAGGCCAGAAAGTAGACTAGTGGGTGCCAGGGCTGGAAGGTGGGAAGGAATGAGTATTTAATGGGTGCAGAATTTCTGAGGTGATGAAAAGCTCTGGGAATAACAGTGATGACTGGATGACAGACAGTATGAATGTATTTAAGGCCACTGAATTGCACACCCAACGGTAAATGTTTTGTATATTTTACTACAATAAAAAAATACATAGAAGTTGGCCTGAAACAACAAAAAAGCAATTTGGACACCTCCCCACCCTCCGCCAGTGTTTGGGTCCAGTTGGATTAGTCTTTGCACAAGCCTGCTGCCCACTTTCTGCTGACTGCCTCTAAATTGGTTTGAGCTGCCTGAAGCCTGAGGTAAGCCGAATTCACAAGAACTCCCCCTCTCCCTTGAGGGAGGAAGTTTAAATTATCAGGTCAATTAGGAAAGATACAACCGAAAAATCCAAGTTTCATTCACACTTCAAGGAGGTGTTTCCTGGCTGGGTGCCATTTTTATTATTTTTGGCCCAGGTGACTGAAAGCCCCACAGACCCAGGCAAGGTACAATGTGATCTTTGATTCACATTTCAAGGATCAAAGCGAGTGAGTTTGGGTGTAAATGCAGATAACATTTCAGAGATCTTTCATGAAAGGAGTGACTAGACCAGGGCAGAAAAGGAGTTGGTGTGTTACGTGTGTGTTCGCCTTCAGAAGTGTTATTTTCCAGCAAATCCAGCTGCCCGTCCCAGGGACCCCTGCCTGCATCGAAGTCCTTGGTCCATCCATTGACATTAGGTCCTGGCATCATTTTCCACCTCCTCTAGGCATGATGAGGCTGCAGGGAGGTAGAGTGGGTCCTGAATGTGCATGTAAGAAGCACACAGCTTCATTCTCTCCTAGTGTTTCCAAAGTGGCTGGGTGCTAACTGGCTCACCAATGCTGGGTGGGACGCCTGGGATGGGCAGAGCTCTGTGGGAAGACCTTGACAGCCTGCTCTCATTGTCCTTTCTAGGTCCACCCACGACAGAAATCCCACAGGCCCTGCGTGGAGAATCCTTCCGGCCAGCCTGTCCTGGGTCTCCCGTCTGGGCTGCAGGTAGACACACCCAGTCCTAACTAGGTTTCCACCATGGGCACTGGGTGGTGGGATGTGCTCTGGGCCTGCCATGCCCGCGGAGCGCTCACGATGCCCAAAAGCCCAGCAGCCCCTCTGTGCCCAAACCCTCCCAATGCCCTCGGCCCCGCAGGGTTATCCTAAGCCCCCAGCCGCCCAGCTGTGCCGCTCAGGAGCTCCCAGAGTGTTCAGCTGACTCGAAGGCACTACTGCGGGCTAAGACAGCACTGCACAGCCCTTTGGTCCCCGCTGCTGCAGGTTACGGCGGGTCCAAGAGAGTTAAAGGTACAGGCAGCTGCAGGCCACTGGCACTAGTAGCACTAGGAGGTCCGGAGTACAGCGCGAGAGCTCCCATCACCCCGCGCGGCGCGTCTAGGAGCGCCTGCGCAGGTCAGGCCCCACAGCGCACGGCGCAGGCGCAGGGTGCAGGGCGCGCACCCGCGACCCGGCCTGGAGGCTGGCGTGGATAGGGCCGGGAGTTTGCGCGAGGACGTACGGAGCGGATGCGCGCGCTGGGGGCGTGGTTGCGCGACGTATTCAGGTCCTGAGTAACTAACTGATGAGAGCGGGTATCGGCAGCTTCTGATGGTCGGTGTTCCCCCACGAGACCGGGCGGTCGGTGGGGGAACCTTGTGTTGCGCAGGGCCAGAGAGGCGCCTTTTCCGTCCTTTCCCGACTTCCTGCCGGCGGAGAGGCCCTCGGAGACCTCGGTCAGGCTCCCAGCGACCTGGCCTGCGGGCCTCTAATTTCTTGGTCCACTTAGGGGAGGGAGCAGAGATTTTTGGGCTGTTTTCGCCGCTTCGGAACGTCGCGTCGTCTCCCGCCTGCCCTCGCTCAGGTGTATCTCGTTGTCCACTTTCTAGGTGACGCTTGGATTCTAGCTTTTCCTGGCAAGACAGTCTGTCCGGTCTCCAACTACGGATCCCTGGATCCTTTAAGCGGCTTGCACCTCGAATATTCGCAGGTAGGTGGGCTTTATTGCTCCGGGGCTTGTGAGGGTGCATCTCTTGCTTGGCGATTGCGGGGTGAGGGGGGATGGTGCAGTCGTTTGCCCTCATCTTGCTTTGAGGCTTTGGGCAAGTTCTATTCCCGGGCCTCCTGGGTCTCCGCGGAGCAGAGAACGCTTCAGCGTTCCATGAGCTGCCTTTGGTTTTGCAGAGGCAAAGAAGCAAATGCCGCGCAGGCCCTGCTCTTTTAGTGGAGCGCTGTCCAGTCCAGGAGAAGGACCAAAATTTCCCAGTGCCAGGTGTGATGGGGAGAATAAGGGGAGAGATCAACAAACTGATAAATCGTGGGAGACTCAGGATGGCCAGGTTTCTCAAAATGGTGAGAGTCAGGCCCAGATTGGGAAGGTTTAGAGTTAAGAAGGCTTAGGGCAGAGCACGGTTGGCTGGTGTATGGTAGACTTCTGCCTGAGGCTGCAAGGGGCACACAGATATTCGGGTGAGTGGGCAGGGTAACAGCTAAGATTCCCAGTCTGAGTAGGAAGTGAGGACTGGGAAGGAGTGAGGACAGAAATCTGAGTAGCACCCTGGCTTATGGGCATAGGAATTGGCTTTTGTAGGCAGCCTGACACCAGGCTTTGGGCTGGTGGTGGGCACTGGGGCCTGGATTGTAGGCACTGCTCTTTTAGAACTCAGTGAGGGACTGGACTGGACTCATGCATGAGTGGGCTGCACTTACATGCTGTTCTGTGGGTTATTGCTGCCACAAGACCTAGTGTTTTCTTGCATAAGGTTGGAAGGTAGGGGCAATGACTAGGCTTTCAGGCAGAAGTGGGGGATATACCTGAGGTGTTCCACAATGCTTTGGTGGTGAAAGTAGGTCCTAGTGGCCCTGGCAACTTCCAAGTATTGCAGGCCACTTAGGAGGTACTGGGCAGAAAGACCAACATAGCTATACCTCCATGGGATAACTGACCATGGGGGTTAGTAAACACACAGGAAACTAGGCATGAAAGAGTGTACAGGCCCTGGGCTCCTAGGTGCAGGCTGATGGAAGACTAGGGTATGTGCACAGGGGTGAAGCACAAAATGTTTCATGGAGGTCATGAGTGTGCCTCCCTCTCTGGAGACTTTGGAGAGGGCTCTGGGGAAGAGAGCCCAGAGGAGGGCTGTCTTCTCTGGGAGGAAACTATAGCTGCTAATAGTTGGGCCTCCTTGGTGACCACTGCTGGGGCCAGGGAGGGGACAGGCAGGTGGGCAGGTTCGGAGCTTTGCTAGGTAACTAGTCTGATGGGAGCAAACATGGCAATTGGTTTTCTAGGATTTCACATTTGGGGTTACAGTGCCGGGCTATTGACTGGGATGGGGAATGTAGGGAAGTATGTTTGGGGTGGGTATGACATTGCCTGTGGGCGGCACTTAGCACAAAGCATGGGGGTTAAGGCAGGAGGGAGCAGATAATAGCATAGCAGGTACCCTGTTTCTATAGGATATGACTGGTCCTGGGACATGGAAGAACTTATGACATGCTCTGTGTACATAGTGCTTTACAGTGTTTGGGGTGGCCAGGAGTCTACTTAAGCAGACTGTGAAGCATAGTCTATAACCTGCATGATGTGGTTAAGCTTTGGTCTCTATAGTCAGATTCTCCTGTCTGCTCTGTCACTTAGTAATTGGTGTGTGGCCACAGGCCAAGTCACTTCACTACCTCAGCAACAATAACAGTACCAGCCTCATGTGGGGAGAGGATGGTAATGATTGGTATGAGTAGAACGCTTGGTTAAAGGTTGTCACTATCATTGTCCTGAAATTCCCAGACCATTCTGATTTGACCGTTTTTCTTCTCCTGGGATCGACAGCGTCTATCATTACACAGTTAACTTGAAAGTTACAAATGGCATTTACCTGCCTACTTAGACTTCCCAGGCCAGCCTCCTGGACCACCTTTGCCCTCAGAGCTCCTAGTCAGGTATAGGAGTTTGCCTGCTATTGCCTCCTCCTTCCAGCCTGGTGGCACTGGTTGGACCTAGTTCCTGCTCTTCTCCACCTTGTTTTTGGACAGATTGCCTCGGATGATGGCCTGCTTCTGACAATCCCTTCGGCTCTCCTGAGGCTGCAGCTGTCAGCTCCCCAGTCCTCAGCACTTGCCTGGAACGCCCGGGTCTCCCACGCCCTGTTCAGCTGATCCCTGTCCTGTTTTGTTGTGTGTGCTGCCTGTCTACACCATCTTTGTGCAGGCTCTTTCTCCCATCTCCCCTCTGCTCCCAGCATTCGACTTGCGCAGTGGGTGGGGCCCTCCATTTGGACAGCCACCAATTATGCCAGCACACACGTTTGTCAGCAGTTGGATTGGGCCTTTCCTAGGGTGGCATGTACTTTCCTTATGGATCCCTGGATTGAAGAGCCCTACTGTGGGGATGCTGTGTACCTGTGCACATCCATGGAGCAGAAGAGCACAGCTAGCGATTTTGCCAGTGGTAAGCCCACGGAAAGCTTCCCCCTCCCAAACTGCACTTGTCTGGGCCCTTCAGGATGGACTTCCACTGAGTGCTCATCTAAGACTCAGGCATCTTTGATGGCTCCCCACGCCTGCTAGATTACTTTTTGGCCCATTTGGGAGATTTCATGACCTTTTACTTCAAGCACCGCAGGACAACCTGAGCTGTCTGTGAGATCCTTGGACACCTGATGATGGCTGAGTCTGGGCCTGGACAGCCCCCTGCTTTGATGGGGACCTGCTCCTGCCTGATGATTACAAGATCTTCCAGGATATTGAGGCTTTTCAAGACCCAAACAGTTTAGCTGAGTACCATGCCATAGTTCCCTGTCCCTTACCTCTAGGCTCAGGCCAGCTGCCAGTGGCCCCACAACCATCATTAGTGAGGCAGTTCTTGGAGGTCCTAACACTGAACTTGGGCACTACTCTTAGGCCTGACCCAGCTGTTCTGGCCACCCCTGCTGTGTCCAGGCCCAATTCTACATCTGAAAATGCTCTACCCAAGCAGCAGCTACCCAAGAAGAACATCCCTGTATCCCAGAAGTGCTCTGCCCTGTCATGTTCTGCATATAACTCTGATCCTGGTCCTGAGGGGCTAGCCACCTTCTAGCCAGAGAGGGCGACCCCAAATGTATCCCCACACCTTTACAATATGCTGATCCCCCTGCCCAGAAGTCAGAAAAAAGGAGGTTTCTGGATAGAAGGGAGAGCAGAAGGTATCCATGGGTACACTACAGGGGGTGTTAAGTGCCCCAGAGATCCCAGGAGAGCCACCCTTTTGTCCATTTCCCTACCCTGCATGCCTAAGTTCTGAGCGTGGTGCAGGCACGTGCAGCAGGTTCCCTTGTGATTAAATGCCCCACATGGCTGTGGAGCTCCTTGGTCCTAGTCAGGGCAGAGTGGTGTCCTCAGGTGACTCTATATGACCCTGTCACTGAACGAGGAGGTGTACCTCGTCCTTCAGTCCTGCTGGGTTCCCAGCTGCATCCTCACCCATCACCTGGGTGTGCTGTCTTGCCAGGCCTGTTCCCACTAGTTGGTTATTTCTGTAGATCAGCTCCCATTAGATAGTTATACCAACCTTGTCACTTCCTGTTCCCACCTACCCGCCCACCCAAACACCACTGTTGGCATTTCTCAACATTGGGACTGAATTGGGTCTGCCATACTTGGCCTGTTTGGAGGTGGTTTTGTACCGTATCTATGTTTTTGTTTCCCATCCCCGACATCCTGTTCCTTTAACTTGTGACCTCCAAGCTGGAATGTATGTAAGGTGACATGGAGAAAACCGCTTTTTTAATATCACTTTTAATGTTACACATTTATGAGGTACATTGTGATAATTCATTACATACAGTGTATACAATGTAATGTCACATCAGAGATTGGCATTTCCATCTCCTTAAACATTTATCATTTGTGTTAGAAATCTTTAAACTCCCTTCTTTATAAAAAATATAATTGTGTACATTGTTGTGAACTGTAGTCACTCTACTGTACCATAGAGCCCTGGAATTTATTCCTTTTTTTTTTTTTGTACCGGGGATCGAACTCGGGTCCTTGTGCTTGCACAGCAGGAGGCGAAACCACTGAGCTAAATCCCCAGCCCAAATGGAATTTATTCCTTTTATCCAACTGTATTTTGGTACCCATTTTCTAACCTTTACATGTTCTTTCTCATCCCTCCCTTCGTAACTTCTAGTGACCACTATGAATTACTGCTCTCTCTACTTCTATAAGATCAACTCTTTAGCTTCCATATGTGAGTGACAACATGTGTCTTTATATGTCTGACTTATTTCACTTAAGGTAATGTTCTCCACTTCCATCTATTTGCCATATTTTTTTCTTTTTTTGAAATTTAAAAAAGTTTTTTGAGACAGAGTCTCTCTGTGTAGCCCAGGATGGCCTCAAACTCTTGGGAATCCTCCCACCTCAGCTTCCCAAGTGCTGGAATTACAGGCATGTGCCACACCCAGCCATATTTCATATTTTTAATGGTTGAATAGTATTCCACTATGTATAGATGCCACAATTTTTTTATACATTCATTCATCACTGGACACTGATTGACTCAATATCTGGTGAACAGAGAAGAAACAGCACTTTCATCCTTCTGAATAAGTAGGATGGCATCTTGACTGAGACCTCTGCTTCCCTTTGGGTTTACCAGAGGTCCTAACCACCTGGGAGTTTTAGGTGCAGGAAGGAGGGATCCAAACTCTTTATCAGGCTCTACTATAGGCATTCCTTTTTCTGTATAGTAACATTCTTATCACACCTGGTTATACTCAGAAATGAACACGAATTTTCACATCTTAAGATACCATACTTCCCTCACCCTCCTGCTCTTGAGCCCTCTCCTGTATACTCTTGCTGATGACTCAGCCCCAGTGATGTAAATGACTTAGATCTGGCAGACATGAGCCTCAGGGACAGAGCCTCTGTCTTAGCTTTGTGTCTTGGGTGCACAGTTGATGCTGGTTAAACAGGTGTTGGATCAGCTGCTGAGTGAGCATGTGGTGGCTGCTAACTAGAAGAGCCCTTGTTTCCTGGGAAGGAGTTCTGCACTCATTCTGTCAGAATAGAGGCCCAGCCTTAAGCATCCCAGGTCAGTATCACAGGTGTGGGTCCCAGTAGGGGCTTTGGAATCTGAATGGATTTGATTGGGTAAGGATGAGAGGCTGAGTTAAGTGGAGGACAGCCTTGAGAACAACTTCTGAGAGCTGAAGAGAAAGGAGCAATGGGTGACGCGAGACAACACACACACACACACACCTGGCACTGGAATGAAGAAAGACCAGTTCTACACTAGGATGTGTTTTCCAGTGAGATCTGAGGGTGGAAACCCATGTGTATGTGCCTACTTCAGGGGTACTTAGACAAGAGTCTCAGATCCTTTCAGTTTTGCAATCGTGAAAGCAAAAGACATCTTCCTGGAAAATAGGACAAAAGTAGAAACACGTAGGAAATACAGCCAGTTATTTTAGTAAAAACAGCAATAGGCAAACATCTGGAAAGACTTCAGGAAAATACAAATTGTTGGGATTATTTTACTGAATATTTTTTGAAGGCTCTCAGTCCATATGGTTGTGTGTGTGAGATATTTTAGCCATAGAGATCTTGTATATAAAACAGCTGGAAATCTTGGAAATAGGTGGGAAGCTATTTTTAGCAATCTGATATAACCCAAGATAGCAAAGCAAGGAAGCTGATAGAAGAAACTAATATACAGCCTTGATTCAGATGTGCAAATCCCTGGATATCTCAGCCTAGCCTGGGTGCTTCTGTTCAGGGTCACAGAGGGTTCTCACACTCAGCTATGGCCTTGGCTGCCTGTGGCTATGTAGAACCTGGCAACTGCTATCTGGGCGCATGGCCCAGTCACCCACCTGACCCCTGCACCATCTTTCTGGCCCCTACACAGGTGCTTTCTCTGTCCATTTAGTGTACCTGAAATGATTCCCTTCAGTTCAAGATTGCCATTTCTCTGCTGACCCCTGTCCTAGGCAAGACCTGGAGACTTGGGTTAATGGTCCACCATGTCTCTGAAGGCTGACTGGTATCTTTTTCTATGCAAGCAAGACAGGTACTTGGCAGAATCTGTGTGTTCTGTTTTTAATTTAGAAAATGAGTCCTATTCATTGTGTTTGGGCTCTTGACACAAAGGAAAGGAAGGAGGGCCTTGGAGCAGTGGGGGCCAGGTTGCCAATTATGGGTGGCCATGCAGGTGGTATGAAGGGGGGGACAGGGAACTCTGGTCTCGACTTTTAGGCAGGCAGTGTACATCCTCTGGTAGGGTGGCTTTGTTACCAGTATCTGCCTTTGGGCAGAGGCCGTTAATGAGCTGCTTTCCTGCCTTGGAAAAGAAAGCTCATCAAGGACCTAGAAAGGAGGCTGTGCACTGTGCATAGCCAATGTTAGGAGGCTGTAAGTCATTCATCCTTACCCATAGGACAGGTAACCCAGATGAGGTTGCTCCAGGAGCCACAGAACCTGGCATAGTTTGCCGGAGGTACCAGGCCTGTCTTCCAGATTACTGTCTGTCCTTTACTTCCCTTGGAAATTCCCTGAGAATTTCTTCCACAAGGATAAACATGGTGCTTGCTGGTGGAAGGTTTTTCAAGTACCTGTCTCCAAGGGAAATCAAAACAGCAAGTACTGAGGATAATGTCCTATGAGATGTTGGAATATTTTACAAAGCTACAGTGAAGTGCTTGGATATTGGTATGGAGAGATAACAGAATAGTGAACTTTGAAACAGCCATGTAAATATGGAAATTTCAGTATACTGAAGTCATTTCAACTTAATGGGGGTTATTCAGTGAAAGCATTTGGGACAACAGGTTGTTCATCTGGAAAATAGTAAAACTGGGTACCTCCCTCAGTCTTGGTGTCAGCATATATCCAGATAGATTAAAGATATCAACATTTTAGCTGGGGATTTAGCTCAGTGGTTCCACCACCACCTCCGCAAGTACAAGGACCCGAGTTTGATCTCTGGTACCAAAAAAAAAAAAAAAAAGTCAACATTTTAAAAAGTAAAACTAGGGCCAGGGATTTAGCTCAGTGGTTCTGGTGCCTGCCTTGCAAGTGCAAGGTCCCAAGTTCGATCCCCCGTACCCAAAAAAAAACAAACTGCAGGAAAATGGATTTTTGTTTTTGCTTATGATTTCAGGATTTTAAAAGTTTAGATATCCACAATTGCTGAAGGTGCAGAGAAGTAGGCTTTCTTATCCTGTTGGTAGATAATATAAAATACTTTAGTAGGGTCATATAACAGTCTGAAGTACACATATGCTCTGACCATTTGCTCAGATGCATGGAGGCTGATGGTATGAGTAGTTGTGGTGTGACACCATCATGGTATGCGGGTTTCAAGAGGGAACTTGAACTTAGCTACACCTTGCTACCTCACCTGATCTCTCTTGAGTGTTAAAATGGTTTGTCCTACTGGGAGATCAGGAGGGTTGAGTGAGGATGGTGTCCATACAATGCTTAGCCTGGGCATCACTGCATTATGAACAGTAAAACTGGAACAACTCAAAAATAAAGCTATTACTCCTGTAGTGTCCATCAGCATGATCCAGATTGTGCGGTGGTAACAAAAGCCTCTGGTGTCTCAGGAGCCCAAGTGGGCATGCTACTAGTTTCCTGTTCACCACACATCCAGCAGGGAGGGCCTGGGACACATTTTGCCCTCTAGTCTTTTGGGGACTCATGCTGAAAGGAGCTCTCATTGGACATAATTCTACACAATCGCATATATGAGGAAACCCCACAGTGAACCAGAGGGGATATGTGTCACTCCACTTATGCCGCCATGGCCAAAGTAAGCCAGAGATCCATGCCGGAATTCCTCAGGTCCTCTTGTAAGGACGACCACTCAGTATTGAGGTGTTTGAGCAGCCAGCTGCCTAGTGTGCAATTGAGCGTTGCCACCCTGGAAGGAGAAATGGGCCTACAGGAAGAGACTGTTAGTCTCTTGCAGAGTGCCATGACAAAACAGAGTCTGGGAGGGTCAGACATTTATTTTTATCAGAGTTCTGGAGTCAAGAAGTCCAAGATAAAAGATATATACAGGGTTGGCTTTTCCTTAGGTCTCTCTACTTGGCTTGCAGATGTCTGTCTTGTTCCTGAGTCTTCACATAATCCTTCTGTGTAACTCTGTCCTAATCTCTTATAGGACACCAGGCATGTTAGGTCAGAGCCCACCCTGATGATACCATTTTACCATAATCATCCTTTATTAAAGATCCATCTTCAAATATAGTCACATTCTAACATAGTAGGAGTTAGGACCTCAAAATAAGAATTTAGGGGGACACAACTTCACCTATAATAATGCCCAAGATGGGTTTATTTGGTTTCCTTTTTTTTCATTTTTGTAATTTGGGCAGTGAGCTGTCCTCTGTGGCCATGTGCAGAGTCCCTCTGGGGCTCAGGGCCTGTGACATGGGATCGCCAAACTTCTGCCCTCAAGTCGGCAATGCCTGTGTTCTGTCTATGGGGCTTTTTTGTTTTTTTGTTTAAGGAATCTTTCTCTACCTGAGGTTTAAAGACAATCCTGTTTTTCCTAGTTCTAATATCTTACCTTTTACATTAAACCTGGAGTCCACTTGTTGATATAATTGGTGGAGAGTCTGCTCTTGTCATCTGTGATGGGCAGAGCTTCTTTGCCAACTTCAATGGATGTGTAATATGAGGAGAAATAAATTTTTTATGTGTGAGGCCACTGAATTGGGGGCTTATGTTTTACAGAGCAGAACCTGTTGTATCCTGACCGATAGGGGATCCCATTTCTCCATTTTCCATAGGGCATGGACTGGCCCAGCATCAGCTGCTCAATACCATCCTGGTCACACTAATCCACAGGGTCTATGGTCTAGTCTATCCTGTATTCTAGTTTTATAAGTGGCCTTGATTTTCTGGTAGAGAAACATCCATCACTGTCCTTTGTTTTGCATATTGCCTTAGGTAGCTTT